GATTAAAGGACAATGATGCTTAAAAGTCAGTGAATATTTTTGAATTTTCAATATTTCTGCATAAATATGACCTAAAAATCATCTTCTTCATATGTCCCAATAAAGAGAACACAATTCAACAAATAAATGAAAAATATTATAAAGTAGTATCTTGGTAGTTAATTGGTTCCAGGAGGTGAGATGAGTACCAAAAACAATGAGTACCAAGCAAATGTTTCCCATAAGAAATAATATAATGAGTCACAAGGCAACTGACATTGATAAGTTCTAGCTTGTGCATTGAGTATCAAACAAATGATGAGTACTGGGACAAAAATTTTGCACAAAATAAATTGACTACCAAATTCAATGAGTTTCAAAGCAATTGAATACCAAAGTACCACTGTACTTATTAATTTATTTATTGAGAGAAATGATCCAGAGCTACATATTTCTGTGTGGCAAAAACATGTGAAATTCTAAGATTAACAATTCATTTGAAAGTGAAATTAGAATCAAGGGTTTCAATCAATAGGATGATAATCAGATATTTGTGTGGCATGTCCTGCATTATTTAAAGAACAGAATTGTATGTATTCACTATTAAAGTCTGATCCTCACAACAGAAGTATGTGGAAGTATGTTATAGCTTGAACAAAGGAGATTTCTGAGGACCTTTGAAAAACAGTGGATGATGCTTACCAAGCTGGAAAAAGTTACAAAGCTATTTTCAAAGTGTTTGGACTTCATAGTCTTCTGTCAGGCTGATTATGTGCAAAAAAAGATAATTTAATATCTTTATTACTTTCCCCAGGAGTGGTGAACCAACCAAAATATAGCAAGAGCAATGTGTATAATATTCTGGGAGGTCTCAAAGAAGTCTAAGGATCTAAAGACCACTCTTGCATTGGTGAAAGTCATTGTTCATGAGACCATCAGCAAGAAAACACTGTACAACAATGACCCTAACCCACAAAGAATGTTGCTGCCTGTCTACGGTTTATGAAAGACCATGTGGATAAGCCAGAAAGCTATTGGAAGAATGTTCTTTGGATGAGGAGACCAAAACAGAACTGTTTACTTGAATGAAAAGTGTTATGTTTGGTGAAAACATTGCATTCTACCATATAAACTTTACCTCTTCTGTGAAAACATGATGATTGCTGCCTTTGCGCCAAGACAACTCGCCATCATTGATGCATCTCTGAATTCTGAATTTACCAGCAAATTCTATAGGAAAATGCCAGGGTATCTGTTCATGAACTGAAGCTAAAGAGAACATCGTGCAAAACACACAAGATACAATGACCAAAGAATGGTTAAATTGAAGAAACTTAATGTTTTGGAATGGTCACATCAAAGCCTAACCTCAACCCTACAGAAGGATTTTGAAAGGATATGTAGCAGACAGGTCCTATGGGGAAGCCACCCACATCCCTGAGTTAAAGCTGTTCTGTAAAAAGGAGTTATTTAAAACTCTTCAAAGCCAATATGCAGGATTGATCAACAGTTATTAGAAGTGTTTGGTTGCAGTTTTATACTACCCAAGCAGGGCACACCAGATACTGAAAACAAAGGTTCACATAATTTTGCCACACCTGTGGCTTTGGACCATTTTCCTCAATAAATAAACAAGTAAAATGTGTTTGACTCCTTTCTTTAATAGGATTCTCTTTATCTAATTTTAGGGCTTAGTGAAGAACAGGTCACCTTTTAGACCATATTTACGTGGACATATTGAAAATTCAAAGGGGTTCACAAACTTTTACCACTGTATATAAGGTACTTAAATCAGGTAACATCAATTATTTCTACAGAAAGAGAAACATTCAAAACAATCTCATTCTGTAATGGCTATATTGCATTTCCACCTTAGTGTTCTTATCACCACAAATTAAAGCCTTTGAAAATTAAACAAAAACTTTTAACAAGATGACATTTTTTGATTAAACAAAAAAGGAAATTATTTAGAAAATAATCTGAAGTGTGTTCTATAAATTAAATACTTGTGCACTACTTAAAGCCAATATCATTATTGAAGATAATTTAAACAAATTAGGTAATTTAGTTCACAAATCATATTATGAACCAATAATTCAGCACATTGACCTGTTGCCTTTATTAATCTTTTCATTCTTTGACATAAAATAAGAAAACAAAGTTTTCAGCCATAATATCAATAAATAACTTTTTTACAAACTGGGTTTTGTTTTATATCACTCTTTGTAGTACAATGTAGTTAACCATCAAAAAAATTAAACATAATCTCTTTTTAAAGTCGTCCAGTTGGAGAGTTCTGAACATTTTAGTGATTAATCTCCTAGAGTTGCCACCTCAATTGATGTATTGATGTATCCTATAAGTTTGATTCAATACATAAAGACAACAAAAATTAAAATCACAAAAAATAATCAAATTATTATATATATATGTGTGTGTGTGTGTGTGTGTGTGTGTGTGTGTATTCATTCTTAAGTTTTCGCGGGTACTTACATGTATGGCATTCAGCTTTGTTCAGGTATTTTCCCACGTCATTGTAGTTGTGCTTTTAAAGTTGTAGCAACGTTTCAGCAGAATCTCATCTGCCATCATTTGATGAACACTATACAGAAGCCTGATGATGGCAGATGAAATTCTGCCGAAACGTTGCCACAACTTTAAAAGCACAACTACAATGACGTGGGAAAATACCCAAACAAAGCTGAATGCCATACATATCTATATATCTATATCTATATCTATATCTATATCTATCTATCTATCTATCTATCTATCTATCTATCTATCTATCTATATATATAATAGAAATATCATTAATCTTTGCCATATCTAACCATAGGTAGCACTACAAAAATCTGTTTCACTTTGGAATGGAAGTTATGCAAAAGTGTAATTTCTTAAAAGCTTGTTGAACTTTTGCTCCATGAAAGTAGTTTTTCTCCTACACTGAAAGTCCGAAGTAGCCCCCAAACATCCAATTTGCTGGCCATTACTTAGTTAACAAGGTTTTAGATTACACACATGGATACATATTCCACTGAAGTCAATGGAGCTTAGTTAATATATACTGAACTAGTTTAGAACAGCTGTTTTGCTTTCTTCGAATTTCCCATTTTAATGCCGTAATACTGAGAAAAAAGTGAAAGAAAAATAGAAAATATATTTCTAGGGATAAAAACAAATATATTTCTGCAATTCCAACTTAAGCCAATAACAGTATATTCTCATACTAGATAAAAACATTCTAATGGAATATTTGGTTGGCTCTTTATTTGAACTCAAAGCACTCTTTGTTCCCTTTGCTTCGAACAAGCCAGAACTGTGTGCTTATAGGGTTAAAACTAAGGAATGTGACAGTTCTCCATGTGCAGTCTATAGACCTAACTTTTCTTCTTTCCCTAGTGGGACACTAAACTACATGAAAACAATGCAGCCCACAAACTACTATTCTGGCTCACAAAAGTTTTGTTCATTTCATTTAGTGCTATTTATACCAGGATGATTTTTATTATTATTTTAAAAGTAGCAATTACTGCAAGTATGGTGTAGGTCTGTAGTGAACACAAATAGAAATAGGCCTTTGCTGGTTTTTACTACATACTGAAAGTTACCTAATAAATGGATGATTTACAGTAGATAGTTTGCTGGTCTCATCAATTAATTTTCTGAATCAGGAAATGACATTTGTACATCTATGAATCTAAAGCTGTGTCTTATCCATTGTATTATTTCAAATACTTTGACTGAAAGACTAAACCCTGGATAGTGAACAAAATCTGTAGCAAATTATTGAATTATGTGTTATGAATATATGCCTGTACATATGTCAACACAAGTACTAAATAAAGGTACATGAAATTTAGGTGCCAAATTAATAGTTGAAATACAATGCATTATTTAAAACAACTGATCAAAAAGAGTTAAAAATCAAAGGAAAAAGTCAAATGAAACTGACAAGTTAATGTAAATATCCATACTGGGTTACTGGATAATAACTTAAGAATGAGTTTTTAAAAGGATAACTACAAGTCAATAAAATGCTTGACTGAAGAAAATAAGGGGTGGGGCAGCATGAAAAATAATGAGAGAGTCCAGGTAATAACTTCAGAACTGCTGGATAGCAAATTAAATGTGTAAAAATGTGTGTTTTTCACAACTGCTTTCAATATGATCCAGACATGGATACTTCTTGTTTTCACACAAAAGTATAGGTGAATTTAGGATCCAAAAAGAAAAGAAAAATCCCATATTGAGCAGGTAGCTTCCAGAAAGCCTTTGAGCAAGTCCTGTTGCCAAGAACAACAAGGAACAGGCAATCTGATTAAAAGACATCTAGGTTAGTGAAGAGTGGAGCCTTTGTATTACAGAAGAATACCAGATAAGCTAACTATGGTGGAACACTCTGGGGCAATAACATAAAAAGTCTTCCTTTGCTCAGTTTTCATAATCAATGGACCACCAGCTATTTCATGGCACTGGATTCTGTTCTTGTCGCCTCTACTTGTTTCTAAATATTCTCTTTTTCCCCCCTTTCAGTCAGCAACAGAAAAATGGCTGTTCTCTACCACTTGCGCACAAAAGTGGCTTGTTTTACTACAATTGCTAGGTTTTCAGAGCAACGGTTTAAATTGCTGGAGAACCGTAGCTCACCGGCCTATATTCTCCACAGTCACGGAGTCTCTACAGGGCTCTCGAATAAATATAACTCCCCCTCTCCACCCCCGGACTGATTGCTGGAAGTCCAGGCAGGCGCCCACCCGAACGGTTGAAGTCCCCCCATAACTCGGCGGATGCCCAAGCGCTCAGCTCAGGCGAGCCTCAATGCCCTGTTGACCCAAAGCATCGCTCCCGGGAAGGCGGGAGAGCCACTTCGCCGGACCGTCCTCACCCACTAGTGACACTTCGCTTCGCCCTTCGGAGGCTGAGAGTCCTCGAGCCCCGAGAAGACCCGCACCCACCTGCTGGCCGACCTACCGCTGTTACCTCCCCTTCGCCCCAGACAGCTGCCTCAGGGAACTTACCTCCTCCAAGCGGAGGGAGCGCGTTGCCCCGGCCAAGAACTGGTGTCAGCAGGGGAATGAAAGGGGGCTGCCGGTGGGGTCCGTGACCGTCTCTCGCCGAATACGACGACTCTCTTGCATCAAGATTCAGCGGCGGGCGGCGGGGGCTCCGGTCCCCCAAAGCCTCTTCCCGCCTCTAAGCATGGCTGGCCAGCGCAACTCCGCGCCCCCCCTTAGCGCCCAAGTCCAGCTCTCCAACAGGGGCGCCCGGTCAGGCATCCAGAGACGTAGAAGGTGCTGGCACGCCCCACGCGTGTGTTTACCCAGCGGAGGCTGCGGGTGGGTGCGAGCCGGCTCCATTCAAATCCACGAAAGTTTGGCCATTGGCTTCAGTGGGAGGCGCCTGGTGCCCCCAGAAGCTGACGGCCTCTCAGTCACCACCATTCCTGTGGCTAGAAAGGGGAAGGGGCTCGAACGCGCAGCGCCGGCAGGCAAGGCAGCGTTTTAAAGTGTGGGTCCTAATTAATGAGTTCCGGGAACATGAAAACGACCACCACCATTAAAACAAAAACAAAAAACAAAACCACTCGTGGAGCAGATTACCTTCAAAATCCCTTTTGTCAGAAGAGAAAGAAGCAAAAGTGAGGTACTCTTTGATAGTTAAGAAGTCTGGAGTGATGATAGGAGAAGGTTCAAGAAGTCTCCACAGATCTAGACGTCGAGCTTCTCGGTTTTGGATCTCAGAGGAGGAACGGTCGAAAAGTCAGGATTGCGGAGGATGAGGCTGGACCGCGCGTCAAACATTTGGTGCTAATTCGCAGTGACGAAAAAAAAAGTCACCCCTAGCGGACGCCCAGCCTTCGGGCTGACGGCTTAGGATCACGCTGACGGAACATGAACACGGGTCAAATCCGGATAACGGAGGCGTAGAAGGAGATTCCGTTTGCTCCCTCAGACTTTAAACGCCTCACGAAATAAGCCGGCCACAAAATAGAAGCAGCTCGATTTGGAAAGACGAATTTCGGCAGTGGGAAAACCCGGAATCGGACATTTTTTTAACAGCCGCCAGTCCAGAACCGATAGTATTTAGAAGGCTGGGGAGGGAGGGCTTACCGCTCTTGTCCCGCGATGGTTCCCATTGAATTTTCTTGGCAGAACACTTTTGTTCAATAAGTCCTATTGGTTTTGCTGCTACTCTCAGTCCCGGGCTGAAAACTTCTTTCCCCCACACTCTGGGATCCCAGATTTCCTACTGGGATACAGACCGTGCCAAGGAGAAACTTGACTTTTTAAATTTATATATATATATATGTGTAAAATAATAATGACTAAAAGCGTCAGCACTTTTTCTGGAAAAAAAGCAGCACGTTTATATAATGTATTAATTGGTCGCTATTAATGTACTTTTCTTGAGCATAGCGCACAGAAGTCTGATTGTGAGCAAGGAGTGTTTTCAATGAAAGTAGAGTTATTTTAGCTGCAGACGTGTTTACATTTCTGTGGTTTAGTCTATAACTTTCTCTTTTTCTTGCTTCAGAATTCTGCTCTGTGAAGCAAAGCCCTTAGCTCCCAGACATTCCAAAAGTCTGCCAAAATAACAGGGGGGATGGCAAAGGAGATTGTAAAAAAAGCTATGCACATGCAGAGACCCCCAAGTCCGGGTCAGGGGAATCGCTATATACCCCTTTTCTTTTTAGTCAGTTCAAAAACCTTCAGGGCTTCATTTCCTGTTTCTAAGGGGTGGGTGAATAGGGAATACAGCAGGTCTATTAATATTTATTTTAGACACTCTGTAAGTCTATGCTAAGGACAGCAGTTGACAGTATTGGACAATAGCACATTCTATAAAGAAAAAAAACCACAAATATACTCCATGTGTGTGTGTGTGTGTGTGTGTGTGTGTGTGTGTGTGTGTGTGTGAGAGAGAGAGAGAGAGAGAGAGAGAGAGAGAGAGAGAGAAGGTGGGGGGGGAAGAGAAGCTATTTATTGTGCTGAAGACACCTGTAAAACTCCTGAACTATGTATTCTTCTTAAGTACTGGAGTGGTGCAAAATTTGATACTATGTTACCAAAAACGAGATGAAAATCTAATGTACCTTATGTTATTGCAACTTACTAGCTTAAAGGACCTCTCATTTATTGATGGGTTCTATAATTTAACAAATAAAGCTTTGCAACCAGTAACAGCAATCCTCAACTATTTTTAAAAAATTACAAATAAATCTTCCATAAAAGAACGGCTGGTTCTTCAGCTCCTGCTGTAGTCTGACCATTTTATTAGTTGGTGGAACAATGGGGCATAGTATAGAGGAGAAGCCATTTTGTTGCTGCCTCTAGGGTCTTGGGTATGTAGTTCAGCCTTTATCAGAGTCATGTAAATTGAATAGATTGGGTTCTTTAATCTTTGCTGCTGTATGTTGTTTACTATTTTGTTCTGATGTTTATATATTTTTATTTATTGTTAGTCACTGGTTCCTCATGGTTGTAAAAATTAAATAAACATTTGTTAATAAATAGATAAATATAGAATACCTGAATCATTGAGTAAACATTAGCCGTGGTAAGAAAAGTGAATGAGAAAGAAAATCAAAATAATCCCATTTTGAGTCTGTGTGGTATTAGAGGGGGCAAAGAGAAATTGTGATAAGCTTCTAAGATTCTGTTATTATATACTACATCTACTTTATTGATTTATGATGTAATAACAGAATCTTGAAGTTCCGATTGTTTTCTGACCTGCCCTTTGCCGAAGGACTGACATTTTGGAAGGTAGAATACATCCTAGAGGCACGATCCTATTTTCTACTTGAAATTTATTACATTTCTTTCTGTTTTAAGTGAGCTAAGTATCCCCTATAATCTGGACGGTATTAAAGTGTTTTTTTTTTACTTTTTTCAATTATTTGATTTTGCTTTGGGTTTTAATTTACACTTTCAAGCAGTTCAGATCTACCTGCATAAATCCTGAATTTTGCAAATTTTACATTCAGATGTTATGCTTTGTATTTCATCATTGCTTTCTCATTTTTTTCCACACCAAATTGGCATAGAGACATCACTATTGTTGGTCTAGGTAGCCATTTACACATATAAAGTAAATAGATAAAGGACAGGAAGGATTCCTTCACCATTAAATTTGTTGCAGTCAAAGTAGATATAAGAATGAAGGCAAAAAATAAGGCAAACTATTAACAGTATCAGATGTGCAGCCAGAAGCATCAATTTCCATTATCCTATAACAGATCCAAGAGAGGCTCCACATTTCTACAGTCTCTTCAGATACCTAATCACTCTAACTCAAAACTGCTTCTTCATTTCACATGTTTTATATCCAATGCTTTTTTAGTTGTGAAATTTTTGTGCCTTGATAAATATTTCCTTAACCATGAGATTTTAAGGCATTAAGGGATCTCATTCATCTAACAGAATTAATGTCCAACACATATTTTTGGTATTGGGTGAAAAGTAGGCCAACTTAATTGTCATTTTGAGTGATAAAATGATGTGATAAAGAGATAAGAAAAAATATATACAATGCATTTTCATGTACCTGTGTAGCTTTCAAAATACTGCAGAAAATTGAAACTTTGATCAATTCCAATCATAGATAGATGAGAGATGGTGACAGACCAAAAGGCAGACATATAGATAAATTGTGCAATTTAAAGTAAAACAGAAAAGTCAAGATCAACTTGAGGGTTTCTTTTTTATTTTTATCACAATTATGGGATACTCGTGTTCAGTTGAACTATTATATTATAGTGTTAAAAACAAGAGGAACTGACTATTAACATGAAGGAAGAGGTTCTAATGTATCCACAAAAATGTGCAATAATGTTATCTCTATAACTTTTAGGACTTTAAAAGCTATCAACAAATAGTCAGGTTTCTATTTCCATTCTTTTTACTCATGGTTCATCCATATCTATATTGGGAAAAGAAATGCCCCTTTCACCTAGTAAAAGAAGACAGTAGAATGACCTGCCAATCTCCCATTAGTTTAAAGATGGAAAAAATAAACCCTAAACAAAAATATTATTTGTTAATATAATATTCCAATATCTTACTGAAAGCACTTTTAACTCAATTTTGTTTAAATATCATATTTAAAGAGTCTTCAAATGATAACATTCTGAATGCTAGGTATTTTCTGCCCCAAATGCTCTGAAGGATGTTTCTATATCAAGATTTTAGCCCTAAAAAGGCTATAATTATCAAGCATTCATATAAAAAAAAATAAAGGGAAGGGAGAAAAAAAGTCTCTTAAGAAGATGTTTTATATTAATTCAAGTATTTGTTGCTGGATAACATCAGACTGTCTCTCAATGAAATATCCTATATGGGCTGCCACACTTGCTAAATATAATCCCCTCTTTCTTTTGAAATTCTATAAAACAGTCTTTAAAGATTCAAATCTTCCAATCTGGAGATTTAATTGCTTCATTTATAGTTTTTTTTAAAGAAGGCCTTGCAAATTTTAAATTTTTTTGATATTTTAAAGGTGGTATGGTTATTCACTGTGCATGTAAGAACTGAAAGTTGAAGCAATCCACTGTCAATAATTATTGATTCAGTTATGAAAGGCCCTGCAGGATAACTTCTGCTTCTTATTCTGAAAGTTTTCAGAGCATAAATGCCTTGTCTTGATTTTATGGCTTCCATACTAATTCAATATCAAAATAAATGGTGCTGGCATAGTAAGTATATGCTAATGAGGAAGTGAATGATTCCATTTTAGATACACAATGAAAAATGATTACCATACCAATAGACTTTAGTCTACACTACTCATAAATCCAGCATCAAGGTTTTTCAATTTAACAGTAATAAGAAAGGCAGAACCAAAAAGCTTATCTACTTATTTTAACCTTTGTTATCCATTGATTAGATTAATATAGAAAAACATGATATTCACAAACAATGTTAGCTGAGAATTAGACTTTTTAAAAGTTGCATACACTCCAATAGTGACTAGATATTGTTATTCAAATTTCAGGTGTCTGTCCAGCCGCAAGCTGCAGATATCATCCTTTGTTGGATGACTTAATAAAACATTTCTAAACCCAAGAATATCAATAGGCTACACAAAAAATTAACTTCCTTTATTACAATTGTTTATTCATTTACAAATGAACATTACATGATAGAAGAAGAAATGAATAAAATAAGAGAATTTCCAGAGAATCCAATGGAAACATATTCACAAGAAGGAATGTTTATATGATTGAATATTTTGATCTTTATTCTTTCTAAACTTTGGAAACATTTCCAGAAGCCATTATCTCCAAGATGATCGGTATAATAGTTTATCTACCTGTAAAGTCTTAAGTCCCTGTTCTAGTGTTCTAAATTTAGGTACATTTAATCTGCCAATGGCAAAGAACTATGTCGATCTCCCCCCTTGCCTAATATATCTAAGACAAGATCTACACATAATTTTGATGTGTTGGAAGAGCTGGCCATGTATGTACAAATCAGCTTCCCTGCAAACAGAGAACTAGCGTGCCTTGATGGTATACACAACCTTGGGGTCAGCATTACAGTTCCACATAATCTATTTTCTGTTTTTAAT